TGTCTTATTAGCAAGAATTCATAAGACAGTTAAAAAGCTGTATGTTGCAATGATGTGTTAATAAAATTCTTGTTTCCACAGCTTGTCTCTGGCATAATGACGCTTGGTAGGTGATTATTCCAATTGAGGTGAAAAGAATAGACTCTAAATGAATATCTCATATTGTTACACAGAATAATAACTTGGCCTTCCTCCTGATCAGCCTGACAACCCTTCCTTTTAGCTAAGTGATTCTTTCATTAGTTCATTGCTCCCTAGTAGGAGTTTGGAGATAGATAGTTCTTTGGAGGATAGCAGTAAAAGATAAGAAGAACCACAATGTTCTTCAGGAGAAGGTAATTTCTTCCAGTGAACAACTTTTAGGAAACTGTGGTCTTTTAAAAGTCAGAGTTACTTCTTACGGCCCCCATCTAAGAAAACTATAGAGAGCTTGTAGCTTCACAGAAAAACACAGGTTGTATTGTGCTTGAATAATATTATGACTTCAATATTTTGTCCTTCCTGTCTTCAGACAAATTGGTCTGGATTTTTTCCCTGGGGATGCATAAGATATCCCTCAACTGCATAGCAAGAAGGCACAAATGGACGTCCTTCAGAATTCCCCTGGGAGCAGCATTTATAGCAGTGTGGAAAGATGAATGGTACACTAAAAATGTATCCTTTTTATCATGTTTGGGAAATAACAGTAGCATTGGCTTCAGCTTGTTCAAATGACTAGAAACTTCCAGGGTGGCTATAGAAATATGAAGATATTGATGCACAAACTAGTACTGGGGAACAGACCCAAATCTATGCAATGGACCCAAATCTAGCACCCAAAGCTATAAAATGTGAGAAGCTGTACTTACACTGCAATTTCTTGGTTTTCTATTACATTGAGACCTACTAGGTCAAAGGAACATGCACATCGCACGAGGGAGACATCTACAGGAAACTAACAGTAATAAAGACCTGTACAGTCCTTTATTTCATAACAAGGTTTATGTATGCAGAAATTAAGTGTCTAGAACTATACTTCAGTGTCACTAAACATCCTTAAGTTTTTTTCTTTCATTTGGTTCTCTAATCCTTCCATGTTATTTCTGAACAGTCATTACTTACACAGCAAACACACTTTGCGTAACTTAAATGGCCGTGAGGTTTTAAAATAAGTAAGTTATTTAAAAATCCTCATCCTTTTAATCAGATATATATAGAAGAGAAACTATTAGAGAAACTAAAACAAAAAAAAAAATGTCTACCCTTCTTGAAGAAGTGGGCCATGATGACTGGATCTAAGATTAAGAACCAACACATTCTTACCTGCAATGTAAGCGTACCGTACTAGATCATAGATAAAGAATCACTTTATAGCGGTGTTTTTTAAGAAGTACAGCTAGAGCATTAGATTCATGAGACACAATGTTGTACTGATTGTCTAATATCAGCCACTGGTACAATTTGTTGCTCCATGGTTTTGGGGAATAAAAGAAAGCAGAATGTTAAACCAAGGAATGACAAAATGACCATCACAAAGCAGTTGAATGGCTACAACACTAAAATAATAAAATTATTGGTATAGGATAAAAAAGGAAAGGAAAGGACAATATGAAATTAATTATTAACCTTCCAGAAACAGTCATATAAAAAGTCATTTACGTGTTATACTTTCTAACATTGGTTTAGAATGGATTTTTGTAAGCAGATGAGTTGTTACATATAATACTTAAACATTGTGGGTATTTTAAAACTACTGTCTTGGATTATGCATATCCTAAAGCTCTTGCTGAACACCTTTGTCAAAACATGTACTATGTATTAAGTACTTATTCCTGTAAAATGCCGCTCTCCTAACCTTATTACAGAAAACCCCTCTGAAGTTACTTGCTGTCTAGAATGCTGAGGGTACTTTAGTAGAATTCTACCCTAATTCACATTAACTAGGAAGCTAGCTGAAATATATGTATGCTTTCCTGTTGATGGTTATTGATGGTTGAATGTTCAAACTGAAAAATCAGGAAGAATGTATCTGCATACATTATTTCATACATGAGGAAGTTTGTATGTTTCTTGTTTCTTCTATGTATGGTCCTATCTGCAGAATTAAAGTGTCAGTAGTACAGAAACATTTAGTTTTGTAGTCGGTGTACCAGTCACCATGAAAATATGAGAGCATAGGTTTCAGTACGGGACTGCAATTGGAGTGTAAACCCAGTATTTACAGACTGATTGTCCTGCTCAGCTACTGGTTCTTGATTGCAGCGTGTACGTGCTAGCTTTAATAACACATTTATTTTCCCATGTTGAAAATAGGCAAAAGACGAAAATTTTTCCTATAGTGGTGCAGACGGTCTTCTACTCTTCATTGTATCATAGAATTACAGTGCAATAACTGTTAAAATTATAGTGTAATAACTGTTGATGTAAGCTGGCTTTTTAGTAGCAAACTATCGTAAGTTTTACAGATGTTCTGTTGCATGCGAACTTTGCAAACAATTCTACATTTCAATGTCTTATCCAGATTCTAACTATTCTTGCTGATGAGCATTACCATCTTCCAAACAATTCAGCTGATTCTGTAGAACAGCAAGAATTACCACGCTTCTATCCACTCTTTCTTTTAATTGCAACATCTATTATGTACACTACTTAAAATGCTCTATAAACCCAGTTGCTGATGTATCCTGCAGTTCTCAGAATTCTGTTTGCTTAAAAGTATGACTGTATCTGGCATGGAAAATCAGGGGATTTGTTCAGAAGCAGGAAGTGGGGTACGCTGTTGGGCCATTATATAATTTGCACTGGCTATTTCATTTTCAAAAAACTGCTCCCCCTCATCTTCCTACCCAACAGACCTCCCAGGCCCGATGCACGAATTAGTTTGTGTACCTGACTTCAACAGAAGCTGATGATGCTTGCTGGCTTTGCTCAAAAATTTGAAAAATTTGGCAATATCAAAAATGCGGAAACAGTTGAGTTCAGTGAATGAAAGTGAAGTGCATTTAGTCTGACAGGAATTTGCTAACTGAGGAATGCCACAGAATTGTCAACTGTTAAAATAAAGGAGACATCCTTCACTTCCATTGGAAGCAGAAAAGGTCCAACTACATTTGTACAGAAACAGCAAGATGAAAAGAAAGTAGGGAATAAAAGAGATCAGTAGGAGGGACTAAGTAGTGTAGGTTGATGCCAATTATTTCTCAGACAAGCTGTAGCTACAGTGTATAAGAAATAACATTGTTTTATGTCTGAAACCTCTAGTTCTTACAAGAATATACTTGTTAAATGCAGTCCTACTCTAGTTTTGTATCTTCTTGCATGCAATCTTTCAGTTTTTAACTAGTGTCTTATGCAGTAAGATAACTAAGATCTTATGTCTTAAAATAATCTACATTTCATTATTTTATAGTTTAAATTGGGGGGGGGATGTCAAAATTTCTTGGATTAAAGCCAATAAATCAGCATGAACCATCTGAAATGTAATGAATTTAGATAAATGGGTGTGTGTGTGGAAAATGCTGAGACCCATCCTCTAAGACATTTAGGGGCTATGGGAACTGCAGAGTATCCTACAAAGCTTTAAATGGCATGTGGGAGGCTGCCAAAGCCCAATTGCTGGAGAGGTGCTTACTTGTGAGCAGAGATCAATACCTTCCCAGTAAGCAGAAATGTCCGAGATACACCCATGGCTACAGCCAAGCAGTGAAGTAGCACACACGACAAATCTTATGTTCAGGAATTTCCTCTATATTGTATCACCAGAAGTCAGAGTGGTCTGTTTTCAAAAAGGGGAAAATACTTTTTTTCCCACTCTTTGACATCTCAGCCATATTTCACTGGCTGAAGCATTACAGGTTTAACAGGAACTTCGGGGTGCGGTGGAGGGGAAAGACTGCACTATATGAAGAGGCATCAGAGGAGGTTTAGCATGGAATCCTAAGTTTTATGCTACAGTGAGTTTTGATACAGTAAGATACAAGTTCTGATTTGGCCAGGCAGACTAAGGAAACAGGATTTCTTGACATCTTCTTCAGCATCTCAGGAGGTAGTGATTAATTCTGTTTGTTTTGCTGAAGGTTTAATGCTGCAAGATGCTCAGTGCTTTAAAGTGCTATTGATTGATTTGGGAATTATTAGCAATTGCAATAGTGATAAATAAATTTGTGAAAGGTGAAGAGAAGAAAATACATAGAGCTGTTTAACACCATGATAAAACAAAGGTTTTTGCTTCTGCAAAGCTTTTCTGTTATACAGGGATACAAGTAACTAGAGAGGGTCAATCCATAATGTCCAGATTACTCTCACAGTTTAGAAAAAATACTCTTACTTTTGCGTTAGCAAATATCAGCCTCTTTTGGAGGGGTGGAGATTCTGAAGATCCTTGCCTATCTCCTGAATAAAAATTCTAAGAACATGGAAGATGCTGAAGAAACACTGAATTGTGTGATAGGCAAGTGATAATATCTTGTTTTATGACTAGACAAAGTAATATTTATCCATAATAAACTTAAGGCAAATGAGAAACTTAAACTTTTCAAAATTATCCACAGCAGAAACTTCTTATTCATGAGGAATCAGATCTTAAAGGTAACATTTAGGCTAGAAAAAAGTAAAGTTGTTTCCACTTCATTCTTAATTTCCCTTTCCATGTAAAGGTATCATTTTGTTGGGGTTCCCTTGGGATAGTGCTATCTATAAACCTTCCAGGAAAAACTGGTAAGCCTGCTCAGGAAAGAAATCATAAGGGTTGGGAAAATGTGACATCCACATTTGGTTTTGTTTTGTAGTTTGTGTACATTTCCTCAAACACTAAAAGACATTACCATATATATGGTTACATTTTCCAGCAAGTGTTGCCACTAACTTGGACATGTGGCTTTGTATTATGATTTAAATGTTGCTCAAAAAAACCCAGCCTTTCCTGAAACACAAATAAGCCAATGCCCAAGTATCACAAAAGTTCTTTACTTGGGTGTTTGTAATGTATAAAAGCACATACTGAAAAGAGTAGCATTACTTACCTCAAAAATATAATCTTTTCCATCCTTTCCATGTACAGCTTTAACAGCACAGATGTCCAAACCACCAAATATTTCAGAACAGGTGTCAACCCAAAGCTTGTACCTGTTTCATAAAAACAATTTTTTTCTGTGAGCATCTCCTCACACTCTTGTTTTTCTATAGGCTTAAGCTAGTAATGTATTTTATATAACATTTGCTCTAAATTCAGAATTTTCACTATATTGTCAGTTTTACTGAATTTGTATTTCCCAGAATAGTAACTTAGAGATACTGGCCTGATTACTTTGCTTTTCCCAGTAGAATCCCGACAAGCTGTGGCTCTGTATCCTGACCTAGTATTATGCTGGATTCTGTCCCAGTTTATATTGGTCCCAACATGTGTCTGCTCTAAACTGTGAGTAACCTGAAGATTAGATATGCTGAAACACAAATAGCATTTAGCTATATCCCATCCTGCATTTCCAGTGCCCTTATGCTAGTACAGCTTGCTAGTTGTGGCTGTACCTTATGTGAGAACTCCACAGAAAGAGGATTTATCATCTGACCAGTTTTTGTGGCTTCGGTGATGCCAAGAGGTTTTAGAAAGTAAGGAACACGGCTTCTGTTTTCCTGTTAAATTCAAACTTGTGCATCTGTGCACAGATTCAAGTGTGACAATCCTCTTGCCCGTTATGCTTGGTAATGTAGTTAATTATGGATGGGTTTTATTATTTTATCAGGAAAACTAGAACGAGAGTCTCCATCTTAAATTACGGACCCAACTGTATTCCAAAGTAGCAATGATAGCTTTATATGTACATCACTGAACAAGGCAAAAGAAAAATCAAGACAAAACAACCCTTAAGATGATGCAAAAGAAACAGATGTATGACACTACGTAGAAGTTATGTAGCAGGCAGACAAGGATAATATTCTTCATGTAGGGTTACAGACAACTACAGTAAAATTCAACAGAAATTTAAAGAATTCTGAGGAATTCTACAACTCCTAAAAAAGGCTAGTGTTTCATACAGTATTGAACATAAGAAGTCCCCCACTTCATTTCTAACCTCGTGGTAAGCAATACAGACTGAGGAACGGACAGTTTACCCATTCTATATGCAGTAATATGATTTATTTTTCTGGCATGAAGAGCTTTATCCATCCAATGAATAGAGGGATTGTCTGACTAACAAGGGAATGAAGTGGGACTTACTAGAAAAAGAGTGAGGCAATTCCTGTGATCAAGTACAGAACTGTTAGTGACATAACAGGGAGCCATAATACTTTGCTGAGAGAGTTCGGAGGTGATGTAAGCTGTGTGTGTTTGCTCAATGGCAAGGATTGACTCAACAGGACACAAAATAGCATTGAGAACTTTCATTAACTAATAGCATAGCTGTGCATGGGCTATGGTAGGTGATGATATGATCTTGAAAGGTTATATAGGCAGATATCCCAGTTCCACCAATTGAAGGACATGTTTTGCTTAAAAAAAGCCCCAGTTTTAAAGCAGCTATTTGTCATAAACTTTTTTCTCTTTCATTGGCTTGTATTTGAGTATAAATGAGAGCTATTTCCTTTTACAGACCCTCTCCTGCTCTCTCCTGATCCAGCCTTTGAGCCATGATGATAGATTTGCCACATCATAGTATTTTCCATTGCAAAAAAATTGATGTAATAAACACAGCATTTGACTTCACTGGAGGATCAAAGCAAACTTGTTGCTGGGCTGAGAGTTTTATTCATATATAAATATGTTCAGTAATAGCATCCTTTCCAAGTAAACTTATTAGGTCACATTCTTTATATTTTCTTCTATCAAGTCTGTTCCAGTGGAAAAGCAGAATACAAAGAAACTGATACAACTGTTTGAAAAAATCCTGATGGTAATATTTTAGCAATGAAAATAATTTTTTTTTCCTGTGAGAAACATGTTTTTTGTCCAAAATGAGAGGTTTTTTTGGATGCCTGACAATTTCAGCATCTGTAGATGCACTGACTGACTGGACTGCGTGCATGCACTTGCTTATAAATAACTTTTTTTTTTTTACTGTAAAATAACAACATGTGTCTTAGAAAGTCATGACGACAGCAAAATTTGTCTTTAACAGTAAATATCTGGACTTTACATGAAAAAAAATGAAGACATTTTCTTTAAAATACCAAAACATCAATCAAATCTATGAAAGCATTTTTAATAGTCTATCTTCTGCCAACAAACACAGAGCTAGAAAAATACAGTTACATTTTGAAAGAGAGGTCTTGGATGGACTAGCCTGTAGTGTTTTAAACCCAAGGCTTGCACAGCAGGTTTGACGAGAGGTCATGGTTCTTATTTTCCCAGAGCCAATATAGTATGCAGCAGCCTTAGAACGGACAGATACTATTGTTCCTCATGTGTCTGCCATGAAATATCTGGTGTGCCAAATGAGGTGTGCACAATTAGCATAGGTCTCCATTCTTCTGGTCCTATCTGGGGGGCAGTGCCTCTCTGAAATAGAGGGGTCAATAAGGATGTGTAACATTGAAATGTGCTTGTTCTCTGCCTCGTCATTGTCACTTACTGTGCCACATTCTTTTTTCTTTTCTAAATTTCTAGACTAAGATTTGTATTCAGTCAACAACGTCAGCTCAGGCAGTGCTTTCAAAACACTTCTTCCTAAATCATGAGATGTATTATAAATGAAATGCACATGCATCAGATTTGATTGCTTTTGGTATGCCATTAAACAACTTCAGCTCTTCAGAAAACTTCAATTTTCCCTCCTCTTCTTTGCTCTGCTTTGTGCACTTCAGTGTGTAATCAAACAAAAAGTGGGGCTCTGTGATACACACCCCTTTCTGTTATGAGAAAACATCCATCTTTTCTATGTCTTTGTCTTCATCAGCATAAAAGAAGTTTTGTTTTCTTAGCTAGTGTTTTTTTAATGGGAAAATACCTATTATGCTCTAATTATCTTACATTCAAAAATAGAAGCAGAAGCAAAGCACATAGAGCATTTATAGTCAGGCAGGTAGGCAAGGTTAGCATTTCATACTCATTACCCATACTTGATATTGTTTAGTTTTCCTTACGGCAAAACTAAAGTGCCTGTGTTTTTACAGAGGAATAGCTCATGGGCTGTAATTATACACAGTAAAGC